AGACTATGTTAATCTCCATTTGATTTCAACAAAAAAGCTGGATTCGTTGGGGTTCTTTTTCGCTAAACTTGTCAACCACAAAATTGATGCAGTACCATTGCTATAGGTTGAGTTTCGGAATTTTGGTTTAATTTAGACTGGTCTTTTTAATCCACTTTCAGAATTAAAATTTGGTTGAGTTTGAAATTTTGTTTATCAAAGAAAGATGGCCGAAGGAGGTTGTCTGAGATGATCATCGAATTGTGGACAGTGAGAGGAAGAAAACAATCGTGGGGTTGAGCGTGTTAATGGAGTGTACACATGGACGTGTACTTTGAAAATTATTTATTAAAAAGGATAGAGAAAATAAAAGATTTAAAATGACCAAAATGGCCCTTACTTAATGGACAAGTTTAACAGAGTTAGCAACCAGGGACCATTTTCAAAGCAAAATGTAAACAGTAAAGACAATAATTGTAACTATTGAAGTCTAAGGATCACTTTCGAAGATTTGTATAAACCACAGGGACCAAAATTATAGTTTACTCTTAAAGAAAAGAATCTATTATATTAAAAAAAAAATTAACTATGATTTTCGTTCTTGTAGTTTGATATTTATATAACGGTTTTCATCCCTGTGGTTTGAAAACTGTTTTTTGGTTCTCGTGGTTTTCATTTTACTTTATTTTTTCGTTCCTGCATCTAACACTGTTAAAGATAGCCGTTAAAAAGTCCAAAAACTGATTTGGTCTTTGTCGTATATACAAATTTAAATATTTATCCTTAAATTTCATATATTATATTAGTAAATTATAAGTCTGGTGTGCACATACACACACATGTTTTATCTTTTTTACTTTTTCTTTCTTTATTATATTTTAACACTACATACACATATACACATACATATGTCATATGAGTTGAGTTTCAGTGAAAATGAGAGTTTAAGGTGATAAATGTAAGAACGAATTTCCACCATTGGATGCACATTAGAATGATATGAACTTAGATGAGATGACCGAGATACACCTGATCAATTCCTGCGAGAAGCACAATTCATGAGTGGACAAGAGATTAAAAGTGTTCAAGGGTTCAAATCACTTCTTACTTTTCGCACCTTAACGTTCGTTCTCACATGATCTTTCGCATATAACACACACACACACACACACACACACACATATATATATATATATATAGCGTTGTTTGATGAGCCTGCGTAGTATTAGGTAGTTGGTCAGGTAAAGGCTGACCAAGCCAATGATGCTTAGCTGGTCTTTTCGGATGATCAGCCACATTGGGATTGAAACACGGCCCAGACTCCTACGAGGGCAGCATATATATATATATATATATATATATATATAAAATTTAAATATTAAACATATTTGATTAATCTATAAAAATAAAGTTTGAACGAAAGTATGAAATAATGTGACTAAATTGCATTCAATAAAAACAAGCGGTTGGCATAAAATAAAATTAATTTTCTTTCTCAAATTCTATTAAATTTGTTCGAATAATAATTTAAAATAAATAAATTAAAAAAACTATTAATTTTAAAAAATTTCAATATAAAATTTTGAAAAAAAAAGGTTATATCATTTACTTATTAACTAGAAGGATATTCACGCAATGCAGCGAAATACATCTTGATTTTAATATTTTATTTTTTTATGTCAGTCGATGTTATAGTATGATCTTATATGATTTTGAAAAAGCGGTTATTTTTTTTATTTTTGAATAAAATATAAATTTGAATATATCATAAAATTTTGACAAAAATATAACAATATTAGTATCAAATTAACTATTTAAAATTCCTACTTTTTGTGTAATTTCTTAATTTAAATTTTTTATTATAATTTAATTTAGGTTCAATAACGAAATAATTTATATTTGGTTTAATAATATAATTTTTTTCACAAAGATAATAATTACTTATTTTGTTAGAACTCGATAATTATCCTAATTATATTTTAGATTTTTTATATTTTAAAATGAGATGTTTATCTTCTATTTGATTATGTTTATCCGTAGTTAGTTGCACGAATTCAAACATAACGCTTTAATGAGTTGTACTTATGCATAGTTTACTTATAATCTTGAATTTAAGTAATATGCTCAATATATAGTACTTCATGCATAAAAAAATGTTTTTAAGAGTTTTTGTCAAATGCTTTATAATACAATATAGATAATTTTAAGAAAATTATTTATTTTTTTATTATTATAGTTATTATAATTTTGAAAATATATTATATAGAAAAACAAATGTCTTGGTATTTTAATTAATAATTTTTTATTTTTGTTTTATCGAAGTTTTTATCCGTTTTATTTAAAAAACACCGAGTTTGTTTTTTACTAAACTTGTTTTAAAAACTGATTGTTTTAAAACGAGAAAAACTGCAAATCATATAATAAATATTTAGAGCTGAGGATTGTGTATGTTATCATCATTAATTTTTGATTATTACATTATTTCACATTATTATCACATCAAAATCACATTATCACAGCAAAATCATATCATAATTAAAAGGTCTCTATCGATAAGGACTAAATATGTAATTTCTCAAATCAGTTTTTGGGCTTTTTAACGGCTATTCTTAACGTCGTTAGTTGTAGGGATGAAAATGGGAGCAAAATTGAAACCATAAGGACAAAAAAAAGCGGTTTTTAAACCACAAGGACAAAAATAGTTATAAACATCAAATCACAAGGACTAAAATTATAGCTTACTCAAAAAAAATATTAAAAGAGGAAAAGTTAAAAAAAATCTAGCCAACTTTTTTTCATTTTGAATGGCTTAGTTTCTAATTTTTTTAACAAAAAAACCACTAAACTTTTTTTATTTTGAATGATTTAGTCCCTAAATTTTTTTGAATAAAAAAATCATTAAACTTTTTTTTGGACTTTCCCTATTTAAAATAACGACTTTGATCTATTACTTAAAATTAAATCAGATTAAGGGGTCTTCTATTAAACACTTATTAGGTAAGTGCTTATCGATATCAATTACTTTACTGATCGAGGATCTTACCTGATAAGAAGCATAACAAGAACAGAAAACCTTATGGTAAGTGAAGAAAACAACTCTAATCTGGAAAGTACTTACCGGATATAAGACGCTTATCAACAACCTATTTTTATAACTGAAAATATTACAGGATAAGGTAAGGGGTCGTTTACTAAACAATTACTTGATAAGTGCTTACCGAATAAATTTTCTTATCGAATGAACATGAGAATGACCAAGAATCTTAACGGGTAAGAGCAATAAGAAGGATGAAGAGTTTCAGGGCCGTCCTTGGGCCTGTTAAATCTGGCCTTCAGAACAGGGCTCCCAACATTTTGGGGCCCAATTTCACAGCCCATATGGATATACCTCTTCAGACTCTTCTTATCATTCGGCCGGCTAAGGTTTCAATTTTGGGTTTGGGCGTTTGGCGATGCCGATTTCTGGACTGCTGGACGAGGACGACGCTGGACCAGAACCAAACGCGCGCCTCATGCCCTCGACCCTTCACCCTCGTTGCCTCGATCTCCCCTCTCCTATCTATTCGTCCCTTTCACGATTGTCGCTTGAAGTCTTCAAAATGGCTAATGATTCGGTTTCATCTTCAGATATGCAACGACAAGTGACAACTAGAACAACGGTCAGATTTTAGATTATTTTTGTTAAATATAAATACATGTTTGGTCGATTTGTTGATTATTCGTTATCTGATTACTATTCAATGTTCTTAAAGCTCATAATCTCAACTATTTGGTCGATTACTTGATTGTTTTTTGCTGATTTCATTGTCATATGTGTTGGTCTTGGTCAATTGGTAACTTGGTTGGACTGTTGGTTGGACTGTTGGTTGAGTGAGTAGGTGGTCGATTTTAACCTAATTCCTAAATCCTAAATGTGAGATAAAGTATCCTCCTATGATTAATTGATTATGATTTATTGATTTATGTCTTTATTTAGTTCTTTGTATACACAAAGTCAGTTCTTTGTCTGTCAATCTGTCATGACTATTTGGAATAATGGAATTGCATAAGATTTAGGTTAATAGGTTCCCCATTTTCTCTTTTCTACCTGTCAAATTTTCTTAGTTAATAATATGGTTCCATTTACTGACTTTATGTGTTACCTAACATTTGCCTCCATTCGTCTTATTTCTTCAATTTATATTTAGCCATTTAGGCATTTAGCCTTTTGTTGCTTGTTCACTATTCAGAATCACAAGTATAAGAAAAAACTGAAAACTTGTTCACTTGTTTTAGGTTCATCTTCTTATTTGTTTAGGTTTGGTTCAAATTGTTCAAACTTCAGTGTTCAGATTGTTTAGGAATTAGGTTCAAATGATCAAATTATCGCCCAATCTACTTATATTTTTATAATAGTGTAACAGGGCCTCCAAAAAGATTGGGACGGCCCTAAAGAGTAGAGTTTTACCCGGTAAATGAAGATGACGACTCTTACTTAGATAAGCGCTAACAAATAAATTGTTACATTCGATATGTTTTGACGTACTAAAATCTTACGCATCAAAATAAATTATAGTGTTAGACTTCTATCAATAAATATTTACCGGGTAAGCATTTGGGTAAACGACCCCTAAGTGAGAGTGTATTTAAAAATGAATTTATTATTTAACCTAGTCAAATAGTCAATTCCGACTTGATTGTGACTAAATAATAAACATTAAAAATATTTATATTTTTAAATCATATAATTAAATTTGGTTCTAGAAGTGGGAGATAAGGTCGGAAAAGAACAATGAATACTTAGCCGTAAGAACAAGACCATAATGAATGTACAAATCTTAATGCAGAACGTACAAGCACGTGGTCCAACGCCAACGTTTCAAACATACAACCCAATCAAACGTTGAACAGCAAGACGTCCACATTTCACAGACTCCCTCTTATTTATGCCATTTTATCCCTTCCATCACCACTTCAAATCCTCATGCCATCCAAACCACCCTCCATTCTCCTCCGCCACCGCCGCCGCCACCACCACCACCATGCACTTTAGTCGCCTCTGCTTCGTTTTACCATCGGAAGGTGATGGTAACCCACCAGTTGATCACCACCATAAACAACCGAATACCAGACACAAACACCGGTCATGTGGTATTTACATTCATGATCTCCTCCGGCGAGCTCTTCACCGGTTGAACGATAAGAGACCGGATTTTGATTGTTGCGGTGGCTGCCGGAGACAACAGTCTAGTGTCTTTCACGATACCCAAGGAGTCCAGTTTCCGAACGAAAAGGTTTTCGCCGGCCACAGTCCCAAGATCTTTGGATACTCCGAGCTTTACATCGGCACCAAAGGGTTTAGCAAGGACGAGATCCTCGGGAGCGGGGGGTTCGGGAGAGTGTACAGAGCGGTGTTGCCTAGTGATGGAACCGTGGTCGCGGTGAAATGTTTGGTGGAGACCGGTGAGAGGTTCGAAAAGACTTTTGCTGCGGAACTGGCAGCCGTGGCCCATCTCCGCCACCGGAATCTGGTTCCGTTACGTGGATGGTGTGTCAACGATGATCAGCTCCTCCTGGTTTACGACTATATGCCGAACCGCAGCCTTGACCGGGTGCTTTTTGGGCGGGCCGCGGCATTACTCGCCTGGGAACGGAGAGTGAAGATCGTGAAGGGTCTAGCAGCAGCTCTATTTTATCTCCATGAACAATTGGAGGCTCAGATCATACACCGTGACGTGAAAACGAGCAATGTGATGCTCGATTCCCGGTTCAATGCGAGGCTCGGCGATTTCGGGTTGGCTAGGTGGCTAGAACACGAACTTAAGTACCAAATCAGGATGCCATCATCGAAAACCCGTAAGTTCAAGGTGACGGATACATCACGGATTGGCGGCACGATTGGGTATCTGTCGCCGGAGAGTTTCCAGAAACGAGGTGTTGCCACCGCAAAATCCGATGTTTTCAGCTTCGGCATCGTGTTGCTGGAGATTGCTTCTGGGAGAAAGGCGGTCGATCTCGCATTTCCGGACGATCGGATCATTCTCCTTGACTGGATCAGAGAATTGGCCGATGATCAGCTGCTTTTACAAGCAGCTGATCATCGGTTGAGAGACGGATCTTACAAACTTCATGATATGGAGCATTTGATCCGTCTCGGGTTGCTATGCACGCTCCATGATCCAGAATCTCGACCCAATATGAGATGGATCGTGGACGCACTTTCCGGTAACAATTGTGAGAAGATTCCTGATCTTCCTTCGTTCAAGTCCCACCCTCGGTACATCTCCATATCTCCGCCAATTAGTAGTAGTAATAATAGCAACACCGCTACTCCGCCATCAACAATCACCACCACCACCGTTGCTACCATATCCGTGAGCTCAACCGCCTTCATCAGCGCCAAGGGAGAAAGCTTGTACGCAACCACAGAGCTTGGATCCAGTGACGATGGCATGATTTCGACTTCGACGTCGCATTTGAGCCGCCGCCAATCGAAAATATTTCCGATGGTCCAACCACCGCGAGAGATAAGCTACAAAGAGATCATTTCTGCCACAGACAATTTCTCGGATTCTAACCGGCTAGCAGAGGTCGACTTCGGAACGGCATACTATGGCGTTCTCGATGACCACGACATAATTGTGAAGCGGCTCAGCATGAAGACATGCCCGGCACTGCGGGCGAGGTTCTCGAATGAGCTCTCGAACTTGGGACGACTTTGCCACCGGAACCTCGTGCAACTCCACGGCTGGTGCACCGAACAAGGTGAGATGCTCGTGGTCTACAACTACTCGGCTAACCGTGTCTTGGGTCAGCTCCTCTACCATCACAACCATCGAGCACCACAGTCACTCCTGCAATGGGACCACCGATACAACATCGTGAAATCACTTGCGGGTGCGATTCAGTATCTTCATAATGAATGGGAAGAGCAGGTGATTCACAGAAACATCACCTCTTCCGCCATCTGTATTGAGCCCGACATGAACCCGAGGCTTGGTTCATTTGCCCTAGCAGAATTTCTCACGAGAAAAGAACATGACCATCACGTCGAAATCGACAAGAAAAGTTCAGTACACGGGATTTTTGGGTATATGGCGCCAGAATACATGGGATCAGGGGAAGCGACCCCGATGGCGGATGTTTACAGCTTCGGAGTGGTGGTCCTTGAGGTGGTGAGCGGACAGATGGCGGTGGATTTCCGGACTCCCGATGTGTTATTGGTGAAAAGGGTACACGAATTCGAGACTCAGAAAAGGGACTACAAACAATTGGTGGATCCTAGACTAGGTGGAGAGTATGATCACAAAGAAATGGTCAGGCTGGTGAAGTTAGCCATCGCGTGCACACGGTCGAACCCAGATTGTAGACCAACCATGAGTCAGGTCGTTAGCATACTCGATGGTCGTGACAAATGCCTCACGGAAATAGGGAAAAAGAAGGAGAATACCGAAGAATGGAAAGAAAGGAACGCATTATCGCTGTCATTAGTTAGGAGGGTTCAAGCATTAGGAATACAATGACTTGGTATCCACCTTATTTTGCAGATATGTATAGAAGTTTTGAACTTAAACAACCATTTCATGAAGTTAAATGTTGCATATTATAAACATATTCAAATCAATCTTATATTGTTACCAGTGCTGTTCTTAGATTCCTGTCGTGTGAGCTTCGTCATTGGAGTCGATCCCAACCCAGTTGATCATAGAGAATAGGAATTCCCGGAAGCCGACTTTCCCGTCGTTGTTCCAATCCATTTCTTCTGCATTTATGCACAATTGGTACCGTCAAAAAAAGAAAGGATTTGGACAAATTATGACTTTCTTTTGTTTAGCCATTATGGTGCATTTAGTACGCGGACAAGACTGGACGTGTGACAGTGAGGTAGGTAGGTAAAGGATGAAAAAATTATGAAAGGTTTTAGAGTTATAATTTAACATAGAGGTGCACGATGCTCAGGATTTTAAGGCTGGGGCCAGGCCTTCCAAGCCCATTTTCAATGAGAGAAAAAAAGGGACTAAGATCTTTTATTAGGGACAGGATTTGTGGTTGAAAAAGGGACCAATTGGGATTTTCCAAGCCGGCTTAACCAGGTCTTTTCGGACTTCTCCGGACCGGGCTTTTCAGGTTGGGCCTAGGCCAGCCCCCAAAATTTTGGCTAGATCAGGCTTTGAGGGCTGGCCTGGACCAAGCTTCGGATTTTTTTGTGCATCTCTAATCATTACATCTTGACTTCTCTCTCAGATTTTGTTCCACCTATTTTGGTGGGACAATAAAACATGCATATTGTCCCACTCACTAGGGTCCGGTCATGTATTTTTCTAATGTCACACCAAACGTGTGACAACAAGTTTATACTGTCATGTCATGTGTACCAAACACATCCTTAAAGTCAGGCAGGGGATTACTGAATCGGGTCCTGGTGATGTGGATCGGAGATTTCTCCATAGGGAAGGCCTCATCCATAGCCTTGACCATGTCCTTCTTGTTCAACTTTCCGTCGCCATTTGTATCAAGAAACAAGAAAGCTTCAATTATGGTATCAAATGTTGCTTTAACCTCTAGAGATCGCATTGTTGTTGCCTAAAACAAAGGATTTATTTATCAGATTTTGCTCAAGAATCTGAAAATAGATCAAAGAACATTGTGGTTACCTTATGCCAAGAGGAGGAAGTACCCTCCAAGAGATAAACAAGGCACAGAACAACGATAAACTGCTTAAATTTCATGCCTTTGCTTCCACCCAGATCACACGACTCAAAAAGATCATCGATTTCCTGATCCGTGCATTCGAATTGCAGTTTTTGTAAGCATTTTGCTAGCTCCTCGCGGTCGATAGTCCCATTCGAATCAACATCTGCATAAGAAAGAAGAAACAGATTAAGGGGGAGAAGAACAAAACCATTGTTCTATCTATACACACAATAATAACCATAGGAAGCAAAAAATAAACTCAAACATGGTGTTTAAATGGTTCATCAATTTGCTTGCATCAAAGAGCTTTGATAGGGTTTTATATGATTTCAAATATTCTATAGTAGTAAAGACAATCCTTGATATTCATAATTGTTGTTCAAATTCTGAACCACTTAGACTTGAGCAATTCTCTTCGATATATGTTAGGAACCTTCATTCTATTCTAAGAGCATCTCTAATAGTTTTCTTCGTAATTCTCCTAAAATGGAGAAACAAAACTAAAATCCTATTGGTGCTTTATTTTGGAGATTCTAATATTAATTATATTATTAAAATATTCAATAATATAAAAAAGAGTTGTGTAGTAGGTAAGGGAGTTTTTAGGGGGAAAATGGTCTCTCCAAAATCTCCTTTTTCTTCAATTTGGATGAGTTGTTGGAGATGAACGGGTGGCTTTTTCAGACAGTTATCTAATGAGGTTTCAAAGCATCTCCAACAAATCCTCTGCATCTCACAACTGCGAAGCTCGAAGACGGATTTAGAGTACAATCAGAATTCAAATCCAACATCATGTTTATTGATTCAGTGGAATCCTTCATCACATCTATAAATGAAATCCACAGTAACAAATAAACAAGCAAAATAGGATGAAGATGAATGTTGTTAAACTGACCATACTGTTGAAAAACACCTCTGATCTCTTCCAATCCTTTTCTGAGCTGCGGAAACCTTAGAATTATGCTATTGATGGATCTGATATTGCTATTTCCTGGTGTACTGCTTTGCTTGACCTCCATCATTTTCCTCTCAAGCTTACTGTCCAACCTCTCATACCTATTCTTCGAATTGCAACAACGCATCATTCCTCCGAATTTGTTGGATAGCGACTTGAGAGTAGGACATGGACGAGAGGTACCTTCAAAAGATATTAAACAAGTAATTTTGATGATATATTATTGCACTTCTCTATTATGAAGCAGCTTAAGGACAAATTTGAACCAATAAGGCAATAATGGCAGAAATTTTTTTTTTAGCATTCCAATTCGAACATGAACATGACCTCAAGCGATAGCATTCAGACGCATGATTCACACACGATCATAATCGAATTAGAGAAACCAGCTCTGTAACACTAAGACATATGATTGATCACACTCAAATACATCAAAAATCAAGCTATCAACTACAAATTTCTAAAAAAAAGCAAAACGAAATTCAGAAAAAAAGACCTACCCATTGAAGATTCGATTGTTTGAATGGTTGATTTTGTGATTGGGGCACAGAGAGACATAGTTAAATAGAAAGGAGAGTCTCAGTGAGAATGAAGAAAAGGAGAGCATTGTGGAAAGGAATCGGGTTCTGTTAAAGTGAGATAACACAGTTTCCCTCCTTTTTGCTTTCTCTCTCTTAAAAGACGCCATGAACATAAGCATTTTGGAGCTCAACCAAAAGTGAAATGATTTTGTAAAATCTGTTAAATTTTACATATATGGTCCCTGAAATTATGGAATCTTGTCACTATAATTTGCTTATTACATTTTTGGTCACATTTAAATTGTCTTACAAACTTGGTCTTTGCGTACGCCGTTAACTTTTTGCCGTTAAGTAAGACTTGTGTAACATCTTCATAAGGTCAAAAAATTTCACTTGTACTCAAATCAAAATGCCTTTTTAAGTTACATATTTTTCCGAAATTTATATGCAGAGTTAACGAAAAAATATGCAAAATAGCAACATACTTTTATAAAAAAAAATTATATCATTATATTTTCAATTTTTTTATTACAACAATGTACCTTCAAGATATTTTTATTAAAGCATCGTACTTTCAAAAATTAACTCATTATAACATTAGATAACTTACCCAATGCTATAACGGGTAAATTTTAGTTACTCAATACTATAACGGGTAAATTTTTGAAAGTATAATGTCCTAATAAAAAATATTTTGAAATTACATTGATGTAATAAGAAAAACTGAAAGTACAATGTTATAATAAAGAAATTTGTAAAACTAGATTGTTATTTTTTGCATTTTGCTCTATTTGTTAATCTATCAAGTATTAAAAAAGTTATCATATCTTTTCAGGTACGACTCGTGCATCTCTGTGACGTCATACGCTTTCACTTTTCACTCGAAATTCAAATCAAGATGGTTTTCTTATGTTAGAGGGATGAACAAAATTGGACGTTTTTATAAATTACGATAACCATCTTGTAATTTTGAAACTGTAAGAACGAAAAATGTTATTTTCAACAAACCATAGGGACCAAATTTGTAGTTTACCCTTAGAAAATAGTGTTATTTTTTTTTCCGAATATGAATTATAATTAGACCGTAAATAAACATCAGCAATTGGAATCAGGTCCACGACACGTGGTGTGGGCTCAGATCCACGACACGTGTTGTAGGCTGATTCCAACCGTGCTACACCTTAAGTACAATTAAGAACCAAAGACCGATTCAAGCTCGGATCCAACGCACACGTTGTATGCCTGGTTATAACAGTACCAAAGAAAAGTCTAATTAAGAACCGAAGACATATTAAGCTCGGATCCAAGACCACCGGCTACAGACGAAAAACTTTGATGGTTCTCGAGATGGGTTCGTGCATCTCTAATCGGTTCCACCAACAGTTACGAGATAATATAAACACAGACGATATCCGAAATACAGATCGATTCAAAATAATCCCTAATTTCACATAATCCATCCTTTTCTTTTCCCTAACATCCGCTGGAAAATAAGAAAATGTCTACACAAAAACAAGAAAACTAGTTATATCCCCTAACATCCAAGAAAATGTCTACACAAAAACACGAAAACTAGTTATCCGATGTTTGCCGCCATCCATTCGGCTTGTGTGAACATGGCCCTTTGTCTCTTCTTCAAAGCAGCAGCCTGAGAACTCAGCCCCACTGGCGGGGCGGTGGACGTCAAGCAGCTATCGATGGAGTGGTCCATAAGTCGTGCAGTCGAATTAGGAGGGTGCTCGTTTTCAACATGTGTTGCAATTTGGGTGAGTGAAGGGGTTGGAGTGACAGATAGCGGGCAGTCGTTGGCTACCTTGATTGCAAGCTCGGACAACTCTTCCCTAGCCGCCTCTAGTCCAGCAGTCGTGATTGCCTGATCGTTTAGGGCTTTACAAGCTTTTTCCAAGATTGATTGAAGATACTTTCCTTGTGCTTCGATCCGAAGTTGGAGGCGATGCTGAACCTGAAATTGATGGGAGGGTTAATATCGATACACACAACACAAGTCTTTGAAATCAAACCAAACGAACCCAATCTATCCCACACATACATAACGTCAGGGGAAGGTAGGACGTACGCAAACTTTATCTCTGCTCTTTGAATCCCAATGCAAACCAAAAGAACCCGGTATATCCCACATGTAAATAACGTCTGGGGAAGGTAGGATGTACGCAAACCTTATATCTGCTCTTTGAATTCTAATGAAAACCAAACCAAACGAAGCGCTATATCTCACACATAGGTAGGGTCTGGAGGGTAGGATGTTGGCAGACCTTAACTGTAGGGGCGGACCCACATGGAATGATACGGTGGCATAGGCCACCGCTTCATGGTTTCGTTGTAAGGGGAAAAATTTACGTTTCTGAAGGGTGCCACTATATAGTTTTTGAAACTGAAGTATTAGCACAAGACTTTAATGGCTAAGATGGTAAATGCTCCTGCCTTTGTCCTAAAGGGGCTAGAGAGGTTATTTTGGTGAAGACAATCTTTGAATTCTAACGCAATTATGTAATAAAATCGCTGAAAAGGTAACACTTCAGCGACTAACCTCTAGCTGATCGTGCAATCTTCGTTGGACTTCCATCTGCACTCGCAAAGCTTCTGTAACCTCAAACCCACTGTTCGAATTGAACCGGAAAAGCGATTAATAACGTTAAAGCTAGTAGCCAATTAAAGAAGTCAAGAAACGAAATCTACTCGTTTAAATCTTGTGCCATCATTCTTGTAGAAGATGATGTGGATGAACTCATGTCCTGACTCTCAGCAATGCAAGATGCTGTAGATCAAACCATACAATTATGAGAAGCTCGTCTCTTAAGGATCCTCAAATGCTAAGTAAACTGCTTTATCGAGTGGTTATATGACTAAATTATATAACGATGGAAGTAACCATAATTTAGGAACATAATTTAGAAACGAGAGTCTTACTCGGTAAGTGGGGGTGACGACTTTTACCCAGTTAGCGCTTACCGGATAAATTGTTGCATACGATATCGTTTTAATTGATAAGAATCTTACCAGGCAAGGAAAGTGAGAGTGTTAACTTTTATCGTTAAGCATTACCTGGTAAGCATTTGGGTAAACGGACCCTAAATCGCTTTATTGAGTCCTTATATAATTTTTTTGTCATGGGTTTCTCATCCAACATCAAAGATTGTACTCGTGTGGTTTTTTTTTTTGGTAAACATGGGTGTCCAGGCCAGCTTGCACACACCTCGACTAATCCCATTGGGCCCTGAAGATAACGGGATTCTTCTGGGGGCTGTCCCGGGAGTCCCAACCTATGGAAGGGAGTCCCTTAGCCTAGCCTTTATTTGCCATCTGAGCTGACTTTCATAGGTGTCCGGGCCAATTTGTGCGCACTTCGACTAATCCCATGGGGTCCTAAAGATAACAGTCAGAAAAATCCCCAATGGCGTTGAGGAGATTCGAACTGGCGATCTATGGAGAGGACCACAAGGCCTAGCCTTGATTTGCCAGTTGCGCTAGCCCTCAAGGTTAATAGTCGGTATGTCTACAAATAGCTAAATGGGCAATGATGAGAAATTCATAAAGTCGGTACCGTCTTTAGAGTTCTCCATGAATTCTTTGCATGATTGCTTCCCCATGCGGTATTTCTGCAAATACATATGTGGCATGAGTTACAACGAGACATATCCATGAAAAACGACCTACAAGAAGAAAAAAAAAAACTCGAGCAACATGTGTATTTTATGGGTCTTATTTATGTGGCCGGTTAAGAAATATCCCTTTTACTCAATATAATAGAAGATAACAATAGAACCCGCAGCCATAAAATAGAGAACAAAGATTGGAGGAAAATGGTAAAAACCACGGTCCCAAACTCCATGTCTCATTTTTTTTTCATCAATCATGTGAAGACCCATCAATAAAAGTAATGCCTCTGGCGTGGCGCTCAGTTGGCAAAGACAGGTTCATGGGTCAATCTCGACACCCCCCCCCCGGGGGCGACTAGCCTCAACCATTGAGAAAGCCAAAAAAATGCCCCCTCACATTGGTGTCCTTAAGACCGGTTCCATGTAGGGACGGTTGGGCTCGCCAGTAATCAACTTTTTGCCTAAATATTAAATATAAAATAATGACGTGTCTTCACATGATTGGTGGGATAGGAATGAGACATGGAGTTTAGAGACCGGTGATCTTTCTTCCAGTGAAAGATGCGATGAAGACATCCAAGACAACAACGGGAACCACAAAACAGACGAAAAAGTGTGACGTCTAAGTTTGTGGGTCATATTGTAATTTAAACGTCTTGATGATCGCAAACGATGGAAGTTACATAATTCGATTCTCATGAATCGGAATAAAATAACGGACCTGAAGATGCGACTTCAGATGATAGAGAGTGAGGCCTTTTACGCCCATTGTTCTCATGATCATCTTTGGTGTAGCTTCTGCAATCAAAATGCATCAAGATAGACGAAGCACGTTAACAAGCCATCCAAAAAAGACCGCCAGCCATGGTGGTAAATTCTTGAATCAATCAAAGATCGTTATACGAATCTCATCCAAAAAATCGAATCTAGGAATAACTTTTATATGTATGAATATAAGAAAAAACAAAAACTAAGCACTCTAGTCATGTTACTCATGTAAATAAAAAAAAACGAGCACAGCATATCCCAGCCGAAAATGGGGTTTGGGGTGGGATGTACGTAGACTACTTTACCCCAAAGAGTAGAGTGGTTGTTTCTATGAAGACCTCCGGCTTGCGAATAGTGTATGAGAAATATACGGATCGTAATCATGAGAAATATACGCAAAAACAACAAAAAATAAGGTAAGGAATCGAGGGTAGTTCATAAAGAATCATATAAAATACAAGTTATTTCACAAACACGATGGTGATTCAAACTAGATTTTGATTTATTAATGGGATTCACCTCATTTGCTTCATGAATAAGATTGAATCGTATGGTTCGAGTTGTGAATCATATAACTTATACTCGAAGAATTGATCTTCCTGTCACAAAGGAGGGATCTTGCCCTTAATTCACAAAGAAGCATAATATTATCTTTGATAAATAATTAATTGTCGAAACCAAAGTAAGCCAACCCCCAACCCCGACTGAAAAACAAAAGAACCAACTTGTCCATTTGTTTCTGAAGGTAGAAGAAGAGAATGTCGTTATGATTAATAACATCACACACACACACACACTAATAGTGGAACAAAAGAAAAACTCAAACACATAGTAGTTACGTATTTCAACAATTTGCATATATCCATGGATTTCATTGCTACTCTTATGATTCTATTTTTCTGGTAACCATGGATGTCCATGCCAGCTTGTGCACACCTCGACTAATCTCATGGGGATCTGAAGGTAACAACTATTTTTCTGGTAACAACCAAATGAAGATCAGTAATCAATCATACATGCACATTATAGCAATTGCGGGAAACGAAGAAAGAACAAGAAAGGGGTTGTGGTATTTTACGTTGTTCAGCAAATTGATTACAATCAAAATGTGTTGCTAAGATTTCATTATGTGATTCTTGGGTTCTACTAGAAATACAATCCATTAAGCAAAGAAACAACCTTTTTTTCAAGAACAAAAGAAGGAAAAGATGATAAAGATATAACAATGATCATCCTATTGTCAGCTAAAAACCAAACTCAGTATATCCCACCCAGAAGTAGGGGTCTGGTGGATAAGATGTACATAGACCCTACCTCTCTCTCCATATATCCCACATAGAAGTAGGTTCTAGCGGATAAGATGGATAGAAACCCTACCTCTATCCTCAATATATCTCACCCAAAAGTAGGGCCTAGCGGATAAGATGTACACAGACCCTACCTCTGTGTCAATATATCCTACCCAAATGTAGGGCCTGTTTGAAAGCAGCTTAATGAGATTCACAACTTATTCGGTCAGCTATACATGACTTTTTGGTAGTGGCTTATTCAGTAAGTTCATAAGGGGGAACCAAAGGGCCTTTGGCCTAACGGTGAAGTAGTCCTTGGCCTCTTAGGAGGTCAGGGGTTCAAACCTCACCAAAGGTGAGGAGTGTGTGTGAGTTTATTTGTTGCATCTGTTGTATATAAATATTAAATACTTAAAAAAAGTTCATAAGGGGGAGCTTTATGCATAAACCCAAGTTTTTTGAAGCACGTTCCTCCCATTTAAAAAACATGCTCCTTCCATCTATGAAAAAACTCTTCCAAACAAAAACCTTCTCAATCTATACAGACAGATTAATCCACACAGACAGCTTTATCCATATTGGACTTGATGGAAAACCAACCAAACAGCCCCGTAACGTCTAGCGGATAAGATGTGCACATACCCTACCTCTTTCTCAATATATACCACCCAGAAGTAGGGTCTGACGGATAAGATGTACACATACCCTACCTCTATCTCAAAAAAGAGGTTGTATCCAAGAACCCCCCCCCCCCTTTTTCATCCTATTGTTAGCTGCCATAACCAAATAAAGCAACTCTAATGGACCAATTTCAACTCAAATAAGGCTCCATTCACGAAGAACTGCCCTTAATTTCTTAGATGACACTGACCACCCTGGATTAACTTGCTCTTTGCTCAAGCAAACTCAAACTATGGAGATAAATCTTTATGGTCAACTTAAAATTGAGTAATGGTCAACTTTATGGTATTTTAGTCTACACTGGGTTTTTGGGGTGAAACCTACTGTTTTTCTGATGGAAAATTGATATGGATTTGTTGTCAATTTGCCACCAACTTTTTCCCATCATTGTATTTCTGAAAAGTAAAATGTGGGTATCATTCGTTTTTACTTAAAAGTTCATAGAATCATCATCAATTTTAAAGTTGAAAAACATCCCTTTTGATCCCAAAGTTGGTTATGAGAATCAATGGAGTATCAAAATCCATTAAAACCCTAGTAGATACACAAATGTTGCAGAATCACCCCCAAATAATCGAAAAATGTATAAACAACTTCATAGATTCAACATTAAGGAAACCAAAACTTACAGACAGATAATCACAGAACTCAATCAGGAAATCAATCAGAACAAAAACAAAACCAATCGACAAATCAAAAAGCAATGCGAGTGAGATAGATGAAGGAACTGACTATCGGGGCCACCAAGCTGAGTAACGGCATCGACAAATCTCTCATGGAGCTCCGCCGTCCACCGGAGTCGAGGCTTCGGATCTGTTGTCAACACCAAACATGGATCTCCGACCAAGTTGGTGGTGGGCAAGTGACGAGGGAAGTCGGCATGGGCGATACCAGTTCCTTCCAAGGGAATGGAGTGAATCCCGGAGTACATTTGGTGAGATATTTGAATCAGAGGGTGTTAGAAATGGAAGGAGAAGAGGTGGATTGAGATGGGTGCATGCATTTAGAGGGAGGTAGAAGGAGAGAAAGGCATAGACAGCGATGGATGTCTTCTTTTCTTGTCTTCGTCTGCCTTTATTCCGGCTTGTTGCTGTTGCTTCCCCCACCATTCCACATTATTAGTTTTTTTCTATTTCGTTTTCCAAATTACAAAACCTCCATTTTTACCCGATAAGCTTTTTAACCTTTCGACAATACCTTGCATTTCTAGAGGGAAAACCACCAAAATCACCATTTCTTTCGGGTTTTTTTTTTTATATTCATGGTGTTTTCTTATGAAGTTTTAAATGTAAAAAATGATGTCATGAAAACAGAGACTGATCTTACGTGAACCCAACATTCATAAGTGTCATCTTTGAGGCTGTTTGGCAATTGTTGAATGGTTTTGTGCAAAATGATTAAGTGGTCATAATGATTAAGAGGCTCTCATGATATAGTACAAAATGAAATATGATTGTTTAGTAATTGTGTACAATAAAATTAGGGCTCTTAATGGTTAAGGGAGATTCATGATACAAAATCATTCAGAGGGTTTTAGAACCATTAAGAGGCAAACTTTTTTTTTGTCAAACAAGATTCACCTCTTAACGATTCAGATGCTGCCTCTTAATAAAACTATTAAGAAGTAGACAAACAATCCCTTTGTAATTTGTAGAGGTAGTTAAAAGACAAAAAAAGAATTCCAATTTCTGTCTAGGTCTGTAAGTGACACCTCTGTAATTTTTGTCAAGGCAAGTTAGGAATGTGCCATTTGCGGACCTTGATTGAAATTGTAATTTTTTTTGTCTTTTAGCTATTTTTGCAAATCAGGGAGTTGTCACTTATACGGAGGTCGTAACATTTTGGGTAAAATCAGGAGATGAATGTCCATAAGACCAATTGATGAAAGAGGAATGGTCATTTCGGATATTTCTTCCAGTAAATATTTTTAACAGTTATACTGTAATTTTTTATAGTAATTTTTGATAAACATAAAATAATTTATTTTTGTAAGTTTTCGTTTAGATGGGCATAAATTAGAGCATCTCCAAAATGGAGAATGGAACTTCAAAATCTTTAAACCAACGATACATTAAACTCCAACAGATTCTCCGTTTTAGAGATTACAACATTGATTATATCATTAAAATATGTATTTTATATAATAAAATATTATTTCTCTCTAAATATTTATTTTTAAAATTTCCTATTGGTGGAAATATATTAAATAATATTTCTCTTTGATTATAATCATTTTTTAGGTGTTCTTCAAATATGGAAATTTTTCTCATGTTTTCTTCATTTTGGAAAATCTATTGGAGATGCTCTTATCTATATACTATCTTATAAACCAGATTTATCAAAAGTCTTAAAAACAATTGTTAATGTACAAAGTACTATACATTTATGCACAAAAGTCTTAAAAACAATTCATAATGCATTTAAGTACTACTACTTTATGCATTCAGTCTTAAAATCTCTTAATCTACAATTAAAATAACATATAGTACAAGTTACCAATGCATATTGTTACCTTTTTTTTTCATATTCCCAAGATACTTTTGACACATTTCACTCATGTCTTCACCCTCTCATACCTCTATGTCTTCTCCCCATCCCCCAGTGTGAGATTCAAACCAATATTCACCATGAGTTATTAAAACTTCTCTCGTTCATCTTCCATTCAATTACTCTAGAACTCTCGCTCTCGATCTCTTGATTTTTTTGCTCTTTGTGTAAATCAAACACATTTGTAGAGTCGTTTAAATATGTTGGATTTTAAACTGTCATACAATTTTTTTCATCGATAGACTGTAATTG